GAAGGGTTTCTGTTACTCCTTATCATGTATGGAGGTGAGCCTGGGCTGTTACAGTCCTTGATGTAGGGGTATAAAGGAATAAAAATTGCTCCAAATAAAATGTTTTCCCTAAATATATAATCTCACACAAGAAAAGAGCCAAGCATCTTCAAAAATTACACTGGTTCTGACTTCCTGACCTACCTCCTCCTGAGAACCATATTTGGCACCGGAGGTCTGTCTATCCACAGCTTATCTAGGTTTTTTTGCTGTATCTTTTGGTACCTAGTGTGCAATGCTGTTTGCTGGAGCAATGAAAACAAATGATTGGGAACAGTCATGGCCTCTAATATCCATTCTGGGGAAGTTTTGGTTCTATCACAGATAGAGGAGTCAGAGGCCAAAAAGGGAAACTGGAAACAGATTGTTCTATGAAGGCTTTTGAAGTTCTTGTCTCTTCCAAAGAAAGTACCAGGTATTGGACAGTCCTGCCAGTGTGTTGAGATGGGGACACTGTCATCATAATGTTCTATAATGGGAACGTGGGCCACACTAGACCTGGAGTGGCAGGACATGGACTTGAACCTGAACCTGTTTGCTCTAGAACCTACCTGTGCTTTAAATTTTTACTTTAATCATTAATTAAAACAAGATTTTAAACAAGATTTTATCCTGTTGCCTCTAAGACTGTCTCTGCTATATTGCCCTGTAGTGTTTACTACTAACTCTTACCAGGTTCTCATCTTACAGCTCCTGGAACAGAAGCTAGCTATGTGAGAGCAGGGACTTTTTTTTTTTTTTTGCTCACTGTAATGGGAAGTTGCAGATGGTAAGCAAACACAGTTGAATGAATGTCTGAATACATGACAGCAGTTTTACCTGTAAAGCTAACAATATGCTTATAGATCCTTAAAACCAAAGCAAAGCAAAGCAAACCAAAAACTTACTTCACGTTGGGTGTGTAGGAGGCAAGAGGTAGATCTCTTAGCATGAGTTTCAAGCCAGCCTGGTCTATACAGTGAGTTCCAGGACAGCCAGTGCTACACAGTGAGAGCACATCACATAAAAACAGCAGCAGCAGTAGCAACAGCACCGACACCTGACTTTCTACGGCACTGCCAGCAAACACTTCTATTTCTAGGCATTCTTTTTCTATAGTTTCAAAGTTTTGGGAATTTTGTATCTCTTCTACAACCTAAGATTCAAAATCACGGAGTGATTAACAAGTCCCTTCAGACACAGACACTCTGCCTAGACAGGATTATGTCATTTACCCAGGAAAAGGAATATACCTGGGTAGCAATGCAAAGGTGTGTGACAGACACGTCTCTCTTTCAGATGCTTGTCCACTTGTCAGGCAAGGCAGTGTTGTCCACCTTGAATATGCATTTATCTTTAGGAGCTTTGACTCAAAACAAATAAGTAGTTCTAACACTCAGCACAAGGGCCTTTGTAACGTTCTATTACTGTTTCAAAGGAAGAAAAAAATGATTTCTAATGCCAGGTATGCTGACATACACCTATAATTTCATCTTTCACGAGGCTGGATGAGGCAGGAGAAGCTTGAGTTTTAGGCTATATTCAGTTACATCTCAATAAGCTGTTTAAAACATTTTTTTTTTCTTCCTTTAAGGGTACAACTAGGCAATCCAGGGCCTTGGAAGGAATACGTCCCTTCCTAGACCAGACCCTACTTTTTAAAAAGATTTCTGGAGATGTAACTGTGATTAATGTCAAGATTTCCCTATTCTCTATTAAGGCACATCTTCCATTTCAAAGTGAAAATCAATGAGAAAACCTGGAAGTGATGGCTTACAAGCATCACCTACACCCCACACTCACACTTTGTGACTCAGAAACATCACTATTCACTTACACTTTTGCTGTGTGTGTGTGTGTGTGTGTGTACTGGGCTTTGTGTAGCCAAGGCTGTCAGTTACCTACATAGCCACTATGGCCTCGAACACTTGATCATCCTATCTTCAACTCCTGAGTGCTGGGAATTCAGGAGTATACCAAAATGTCTAGCCAAAACTTTTATATATGATCACTTAAATATACAGACTCCTTAATATAAACCTACATGATACACCAAGTTTGGTCTTTTCTGCCAAGGCTCTGACACTACAATTTGTCCTATTTTGGAGTTAGGTAGGTAAGCAAGGGGTATTTAGGGGTGGGCTGCAAAGAGAATATCAAGACAACCTGCTTATACTTTGCCAAATCTCACCAATCACTGTATCCTTTGGAAAGCATTGTAAATATGAAGATTTCCTTTTGTATTTTGCAGTAGTGGATTTAACTTGATGAGTCCCAAAAGGGGTCAGTAAAGCAGGGAAAATCTAAGTATTTAATACTTCAGTGACTTTTAAGCATCTACAGACTCAGGAAAACAAGCCTATCTCTTAACTCCTCTGTATCTAGTATGCTGCAGCTTTCTCTACCACCATTGCTATAAAATAGGCGTTAAATTTAAATTAAACAGACAACTATTTTGTGTGTGGATATGTATGGGCATGCACTTGTTGCAGGTCACAGGTCAGAGGACAACTTGTGGGAGTCAGCTCTCTCCTTTTACAATGTGGTTCCCGGGATCGAAACCATGGTGGTAAGGGCGCTGAGCCATCTCATCAGCCTAGTTTTAAAAGCCAGAGTAAATTGTAGTGCATAACAATTCAGACTAGTGACAAGGGACCTTGGCGAACGGTGAAAATATCCCCCCTTCTCCGGCTATCCTGTTCCCAAAGGCCAGAGTGCCAAATAGGTTAAGAGAGATCATCCGTTCTTCCCTTTCACCTATGCATAAGTAGCTGGCCCCTCGGTTCTAGTTCATTGGTTTAATCAAGTTTTCTCCCAATCTGCGGAGATCAAGTCAGAGCACAGCTGCTGGAGTCTCCAGACAGAGCAGGCTCCGGGAGGCAGCGAGTGGAACCTTCGGCTAAGAACGCGGACCGCGGGCCTGAGCCTCTGTGGGCAGCACAGCTTTCTGAGCCGGTTTTCCTACCCTCAATTAGGGGGAAACGTCTCACCTGGGGGCCGCGGGGAGCTCGGTGAAGAAGCGACAGCTGCCCACTAAACGCGGCCCCACAGCCGCCCAGAGGCCCCACAGCGAGGGCAGAACAGCGAAAAAGCCGCGCCAGGCAAGGACCCTCCCCCACGCCCCCGCCCGGGTCGGAGCTCTGCTACCATTCCGGAAATGCCCGAGGAAAGCCTTCGTCTTCCTTTTCTTGAGCAGCCAGCAACCCACTGCTCACCCGCTGTGCCGCTGCACCTCTCGCTACGGCCGTGCTTTCCCGGTGGACACTCATGAACCCACTTCCGGCTCGGTCCGCTTGTGGCGTCCCCTCATCTGCTCTCCGATGTCGACACTTAAGGTGTCTGCAAGTTCCGAGGCTGTTGAGTTCCGGGTGCCTTGCTCTCTGCGTTCTGTTCCGTGCAGCAGGCATTCTCCAAGTCTCCACTGTGTCTCTTCTTCCCGCAGCCTGGAGTGAGTCTCCCAGAAACCATCCAGAGAAGACAATAATGACGACTGTCAGTATGATTATGAAAACTAACGAAAACATGCAATTAGTGATTAAAGTAAAAATTTAAAGTTTGTTTTTATTCTGTGCGCATTGGTGTTTTGCTTACATATGTATATCTGTGTGAGGGTGTCGAATTCCCTGGAACTGGCCATAGTTGTGAGCTGCCATATGGGTGCTGGGAATTGAACCCAGGTCCTCTGGAAGAGTAGCTAATGCCCTTAACCACTGAGCCATCTCTCCAGCCCAATAATTAAAATAATTTAAACATTTAAGATAGCAGGCTTCTTTCTGTGTTAGGAACATCTGTGAGCTGGAATGGTGGCTCTTACCAGGAATCAAGCAATCAGGAGGCTGAGGCAGAGAATTGGAGGCCATTCAGGGCTACATAGTGAATTACATTCCATCTTGGGACTATAGGCTATACAAAACAAAACACCATTTAAAATTTTGTAGACCATGCTATTTGTGTTAATGTATCTGGAAGATAATATATATATAGAGAGAGCATTAGAATAATTAAAGTTATAAAATAGTTTTCATGACTTTATTAGCATACTGTTTTTAATAGCTTGGTGTGGTGGCTCACACCTTTGGGAGGCAGAGAAAAGCAAATTTCACTGAGTTCAAGGACAGCCTCATCTGCATAGTGAGTTCCAGAATAGCCAGCCAGAGCAACATAGTGAGAACTTGTCTTAAAAAATTTCTTTCTTATCTGTTTATTTTCAAATTCTCATTTTGTGGCCAAGGACATCCTGGAACTCACTGTGGACCCAGGCTGGCCTCAAACTTCTGGTTTTAAACTATCCTTTTGTTACCAAGACTGGCTCTGATACCCCCAATAAGCTAGAGTTGGGCACACATCCTCAAATCATCAAAGAGACAAATAAGAACCTGTAAGGTGGCTCAGCAGCCAAAGACAGTGGCTGCTCAGCTGGCCATGTGCACACAAAATAAATGAAAATAAAAATGTAATTAAAAGAGATAAGTAATACTAAACAGCAGAGAAAGGAAATTTATTCAGTGTGCTCACATATGGTAGAAGAACATCTAAAGAGGCCCAGTGACTGCTCCCACACATATTTGGGGTCTGATATGAGGCTTAGGCTTAAGGAGAGAACTCTGGTCCCATTCACCAGGCATTTAAACGTGAACCACAAATCTGCGCCCGTGGGGCTGAGCCTTTCAGGGGGGAGTTGAGGTCACTCTCCCTCAGGGAGATGAGCCCACCCCCTAGCTCCTGGGTTCTGGCCCATGACTTGTAACAGGTGCTTCCTCCCAGAATGCTTCCCTGGGTCAAACTCAGAGCCACAAAGGCTTCCATTAGACCGTTCTGGTAAGTGACATTGCAGAGCCCAGAAAGCCTGGGAGGGTGGTGAGCAGGAACTAGGGGTGCATGACCCTTTGAGGTTTCTCCTCAAAGCCGGGAGGAGTGCTCCCCTGCTGGTCAGGGCCTGGGAGCAGTGGCTCTCAGGGGCAGGGTGCTGCAGGTCTGGAACCATGGCCTGGATGTCTGTCCTGCTCGTGCTGCTGGCCCACCTCACAGGTAAGGGAACTCTTGGGGCCCAGAGCCTCCTTGGCCCTCCTCTTGCCTTGCTCTGCCCAAGTGATGGACATGCTTCTATCTTCTCAGGTTGTGGCCCTCAGCCCATGCTGCACCAGCCACCATCAGCCTCTTCCTCCCTTGGAACCACCATCCGCCTCACCTGTACCCTGAGCAGCAATGATAACATTGGCATTTACAGCATTTACTGGTACCAGCAGAGGCCGGGCCACCCTCCCAGGTTCCTGCTGAGATACTTCTCACACTCAGACAAGCACCAGGGTTCCAATATCCCACCTCGCTTCTCCGGATCCAAAGATACGGCCAGGAACCTGGGGTATCTGAGCATCTCTGAACTGCAGCCTGAGGACGAGGCTGTGTATTACTGTGCCGTGGGGCTCCGGAGCCAGGAAAAAGAGAAGAGGATGGAGAGGGAGTGAGAAGGAGAAAAGTAGCATACAGATTCAGAATCTTAGGCTCTGAAGACATTCAGACCCTGAACCAAAGATGGAGTTTGCTTTGCTAGGCTAGTCTGTATGGGAAAGAGGGGTAGAACATGGGGCTTTGCAGAGCCAAGAAGATGGAGCCATCCAGCTTTTCCTTGTATTGCAGTGTTGCTATGAGCCCCATGGGAGGCTGGATTGTAGAATTAAAGCCGTTTTAACTGAGTTTGGCTTGGCTGGTTTGTGATCTCAGAAGCAGTTTAAGAACTGGCTAGGTCAAAGGTACCCGGAACCTGACTAGTCACACTCAGTTTGTCCACATACCCATCTCTTAGGCAGAGCATTTGCCTGAGCACTATTGTTATGATCATGGGGCAAATGGATGATAAAAACATCTTGGAGGGGGACTTTCTTGCAGGGACAGGGTGTCCTGTTGTCATCTCCACAGTCGCAGAGTAAAGGAGCCCAGAAAACGTCATCACTGGGCCTCTACTTTGGGGAGAGCAGGTTCCCCTCATTGTTACTAGTGATGCTTTGAGATGAACAGACCTTTGTCATGGGGCTGCCTGTGCATTGTGGGTGTGGCCTCTGCTACCAGATGCAGTACACAGCACATGTTCGTCAACATAAAGAACACACACACACACGTATATATATTTCTTAGATATACATATCCAAGAAATAATTATTTTTTAAAGTATTTTATGCCGGACAGTGGTGGCGCACGCCTTTAATCCCAGCACTTGGGAGGCAGAGGCAGGCAGATTTCTGAGGGCTACAAAGAGAAACCCTGTCTCGAAAAATCAACCCCCCCCCCCCAAAAAAAAGGAGAAGACCAGGCTGGCCTCGAACTCAGAAATCCATGTATGTCTGCTTCCCAAGTGCTGGGATTAAAGGTATGCACCACCACCACCCGGCTCTCTTTCTCTCTTAATCTCTTACTCTCTTGCCTCTAGCTTCCCTTTGTCCCTGGCCCCTCACCCCTTCCCTTCCCCATCTCTCCACATGGTCATGGCCTGCCTCCACTTCTCTTCCCTCTCCCTCTGCCATCTTCTATTTCTCTCCCCCAACCTTTGCCCTCTGCCCTGAATAGCTCCCCACCCCCCCCCAGGAATCGTTTGGTCTGGTGTTGTCTGTTCTAAGCATACGGTGTAATGGGTTTCATTTTGGCATTTTTATTCATTTGTGTCATTGTACTGTAAGGGTCCATGATTCACTAAAGAATGACATCCCAGATTCAAATAATATGTAAATGTAAGACTTTAGGTCTCTCTCGGTTTGAATTTAAGATTGAAAGAGCCGGGTGGTTACTAGTAACCTTTAATACCAGCACTTGGGAGGCAGAGGCAGGCGATCTATGAGTTTGAGGCTGGCCTGGTGCTGGTCTGAGTCATATGAAGTCAGGCAGTTATTCCATCTACCCCAATGGAGGCCAGGAAGGTCAGCTGCACCAGGAACAGTCTCTTATTAACCTGAAAAGTCATTTCTGGGAGGGGGGTGAATCAAGAGCCGGAATCAAGGGAGTGGGGTCCCGCACAAGAGGGGTGTTCTGGGCTTGGAACAGGGATAGGACAAAGGACATTATCTAGCCAGTGCCAGTTTTCGAGGGCAGTTTAGTTAAGGTCTCTTTTTACGATTTTGTTTATTTTCTCTACTTGTCCTGAGCTCTGAGGACAGTATGAACAATGGAGCTTCCAATCAGTCCCCAATATCTCTGCCAATCCCTGACTTACCTTAGAAACAAAAGCAAGACCTGTTACCTGATTCAATTACCTTGAAATCTTGGGAAGATTTATCTATATTTTTTTGGCCTAACTTTTAAAAAATTTGTCTCTCAATATACTCTAGGCTGTCCCCTGTAGGTATTTTTCCTGTTTACTCTAAGCCTCATCAGCCTTTGCTTGCTGGCATACCTTATACTGTTTGACTCTCTGACCCAAAACCCGAAGTCCATTATATAGCTTAGATCTCTTAACTGCTTGGATGTACTAATTTTTTAGGAGTCTATCTGCCTAGTAAGTCTTGTTTGCTTTCTGGGGAGTAGAGTTTTCCCTTCTCATACGCACCATTGCCCTTTTTCTCTAGGTAACAGTTGCAGGGTGGCTAGCAATCTGAGTCCTTTTCTTCTTCTGTGTGTTTTAAGTGAGGCTGTCTCTTAATCTAGTCCCAATCCCCAGTGTGTGTCTCTTGAAGGCCCATAACCGGGACAAGCTCCTGCATAGCCATGTCTCAGGCCACTTGAACTGTCTGGTTATTGCCTTGGGCCACTGAGTCTCCTCCCTTCTGGTGTCCTGTGTATCAAATACTCACAGTTGCTGGCTTTATCAAGGCATCCAAGAGATCTAAGATTTCTTCTGATGTGAACAGTCCTCTTTTTTGGTATATAGCCTTGTGGACATGGGCTGTGGCAAAGGCATACCTATTGTCTGTGTAGATGTTAATTTTTCTTGCCAGCTTCAAGTTCCAAGGCTGCTTTTTGCACCAAGGAGCCCAGGGGGTGGGGAGTAGAAGTTGAGCCCAGATGACATTTGCGCCATCCTCTGCGGCAGCAGCACCAGCTTGTCTCTGGCCAGCATGGAGAAAACTCCTGTCTGTAAAGCAGGTTGCCTCGGCTCCCAGCTGGGGTCAGCAGAAGTCTTTTTCTCTACCCGTGGGTTCTCCTTTTGGGCCAGTTAGTTGCAGCCTGTTGGGCAGGAAGTGTATCTGGACCCCATCCTGGGAAGTAAGTCTCGACCCAACAGAGGGTAGGGACAGTCTGGGATGACCAGAAATGAATGGGATACCCAGCCCATCTCTTGGTCCACCATTTTTCAGGTAGTCCATGAATTTTCACTCAGAGCTAATATCTTCGTCATTTGTAGAGAACTGTGGCCTGCAGTGTACCGACACATCTGTCATACTGCTTCCACTACCCACAAATTCCCTCCCAGAATTCATAATCTGACCCTATCCCAGGGTCACAAACTGCCCTCTGTGGGTTCCCGCTCTGCCCAGTTCCTGCTCCTGCCACGAGCACAGAAACCAGGCTACACAGACAGTCGCCCCTGCCATGGGTGCAGACACTTCACAAACACAAAAACAAAGAACAGACAGTACACACACCTGCTCGAGCGTGTGGACCTCCGATCCCTGGAGCCGTGGGGTCTGAGAGAGCAAATCATCTTGGTGGAACCTCCAAATGTTGGACTGTAAGATCCAAAACCAGGGGACACACTCCCACAAAACTCACGGACAGGACTCGCTGCAATCAACATGGTTTGGTTTAATGAAACTAGTGCACTAGGACTCTCTCGCATGCAGGCAAGTTTCCTGGAATGTATCTAAGCTCTGGGCCCTCCTTACCCGTGGGTGGGTTCCCTTCCCTGTGGTCTGAGGAATGTTAATCAGCCTCTCCCTCCTCTGAATGTTAATCTAGCAAGTGTCCTCTGAGTAAGGAATGTGCCCCTCCTGGGATGTGTCCTAGGACAGTGGGATTCTTTTCAAACTGAGACCCGAAAATCCTACTTTTAGACCCAAAAGTCTTACAATATAAAGCACATCAGGGAATTCAGGGTAGGTGACCTCTATGTTAATCTGTTGGGTCCATCTCTAAGGTCATTCATTGCCAGGGTGTGGGGGCTGGAAACTTGCTGGGGAGGTCTGGAAACCGTTACTGAGTTAAGTAGCTGAGGAAATCTGGAAACTGTTGCTGACCCATTGTCCTTGCCTCAGGTTAAAAGGTTGGGACATTCCATTACCTAGGTGTGAAGGCTGGAGCCTGGGTTTTTTTTTCTGTTAGAAATGGACTTGCCAAGAAGCCATCATGGAAGAAGGAGAATGTGCAGGAGGGAGGAGAGCTGCCATGGGCTAAGGGCCCGGAGAACATGGCCCAGAGGGCTGCTCAGTTGGGTTGAGAGCAGCCCAGATGGAACATAGCAAATAGTATATGATAACTTGGGTTTATTGATAGGAAGTAATTCTAGCATCTTAGCAGGTAGACAACTGCCTAAATATTGTGCTACATAAAACATTGAAAAAATATAAAGGCTGTGTGTGTCTTTCATCCAGGAACATAAATGGTCTAAGGCAGGGAAGAAGCCCCACAGTGGGATTTTTAATATATAATACTATATATGTTGCTATCAGGCCCCAACTCAGTGACATTACATTTAGACGACCAAGGCAACCTTACATCGTTGCCAAGGCAACCGCCATACACTCCCAGAATCCACCTGGCTACCTCACCTATACCTGGGAAAAGGCTACATCACCGCCCATATAAACAGGCAGAACTCCCTGACCTTGTTCTCTTTTCTGTCTGCCATTTTCTCCCATTTCTCTCTCCACCTTTGCCCTCTGCCCTGAGTAACCGCCCCACCCTCTTGGAACCGTTTGGTCTGGCGTGGTCTGTTCTAAGCTGCGTGCCGATGTCTAACAATATATATATTCTACTACACAGGCTACGGAGTAATCATAGGTTTATTCTAATATGTTTTAATACAATACAATACAATACAATACAATACAATACAATACAACACAACACAACACAACACAACACAACACAATACAATACAATACAATAAGGTAAAAAAAAAATCCCAAGTGGGAATAAGACAAAAACAACCAAACAAAAGAAGAGCCAAAGAAAAAGCATAAGGCATAAGAAAGACATGTAGATCCAGAGACATCTTGGGACACTAAGGAATACCATAAAAACTCAAACAAGAAGCCATATATATATATATATATATATATATATCTATAAATAACGAAAAGTAAAGAATAATCCTCCAAAGATTCTGTTGAGTTTGCTTTGTGTTGTCATCTAAGTGTGATTTGTTTCCCCAGTGAGACTCCTTTGCAGAAAATGATATTTTCATTTGCAGGTGGCTATCAATTGAGATAGCTTCTGGGTTAGGAATGGTGTCTACTTTCCTTTCAGCTCTAGGGCTCCATTTGGTGTAGACCCACATAGGCTCTTTGCATGCTGCCACAGTCTCTGAGCTCCTATATAC